TCGATCTTTATTATATGAGGAACCACTTCCGCATAGACCAACCCTCCCATCATTGCAATATAGTATAGGTGATATATTTTAGGCAATTCATGTCTTATACTATTCTCACCCTATTTATAACGCGATCTAGGAACTAGAAACCATAATGAAAGTGCCGTAGATACAAGGGATGCGAGAGCCGGCCGTTTTTTGGTTTGGGGCTCTTAATTAGTGAATCGTTCCAAGCCAAAGGCGTAACTACATGGTGGTGTATGCGGAAGTGACATACAATCAAGATCGAACTTCCTTACAGGTAAGTCGTTTAATCTATGACTTTTTATGTTTTTAAACAGCGGTTATTAGGTGTATCTTATCATTAGATGCACATAAATTCAATTAAGTTCTTAAAAAAACAATGACTAAACTTAAGCATCGAATGATCAGCAGAGGAGATCAAATTAATTCGATAACTTTCATTGAAGAATCATTCGAGCTGAAAACTACGAGATATCGTCAATAGGTATTTCCGAAATGTGGGTCACTGGCATTAATAATTATTGTATTAACCTTTTTACGAGCTTTTTTATTTGCATTTTTATGGAGAAATTAATAATAATGCATTAGTTTTTTTCGTGAAATGTAGGATCGAGGTGCGGTGCCTTCTACCGAGTTTAAACAATAACTTATAATAAGAAAAAATCAATGTATTTAAATGCTAATTTTTTAAAATGTATTTTCATCAAGATACGTTGTGAATTATCTGCTTTTCACAAAATTGTTATAATTTGCAAACAAAAAAAATATTCATTTGGCAATGTGAAAATGAAAACCCCAATTTCCCTTCTAAATTAATGGAATCCACCATCACAACCCCAAAGGTAAAACAAACCGAAGTGGGGAGGGAAGAATATGTGTACCGACTATTGAAGGGTACAGGGGAAAAACGGGCTAAATCAATTTTTAGCAAAGTTGAGACATTGACGTCACTCGATAGAAAATACGTTAAATTTTATTCTAAAAATATTGTCCACTGCAAGAACACGCTAAGTAAAGAGATATTAAATACGAAAAATATCCCGTACAGGGGAATAACGTGATACGTCCGTGCGATACCAAGCAAAAACGGGCTAAGTCGCAATTTACGCATCTCTTCGGTAGAGCTTTGGTCCAATTATTTTTATGCCAGTCGGTCAGTGTTATTGATGTTTTTTATTGCCAAACATTATTAGGAACATTGTTCTACTATGGATAGTGATTTAAGTGATTGTGAGGGTGTGCAGATGGTGTCTTCTAAAAAAAAGGCCAAAACATGGAAGATTAATAGATGTCAATAAAAAACTGAAGGTGCAAAGCCATGAAATTAGTAGAGAATGCTACTGCAAACGTTTACATTGCTCCAGAAAGATTCCTGTGGAGAGTAAGCAAAATATTATAAGGAGTTTCAATCTTTTAGAGTCCACTGATATACAAAACTCCTATTTATGTGGACTCATTAGTATTGTTCCAGTCAAAAATAGACGACCGGCTCACACTGGTTCCAAATTCCTAGAATCCGGTCAAAATAGAAAAAATGTAATAACCAATTTTAAGAATTTGGATGTATGGGTCAGGTAGAAAGGTGTTTAGGCTACCTATTAGTGATGGAAAAATTCTTAACAATTGCTTGTTAGTACATAGATTTTAGTTGCCGATTAGGGTTTGTCGAAAGTGGTAGTGTCCAGAGAATTTTAGATTGTGAATTAGTTGTAATATAAAGTGCATTATTTTGGACTTGAGTTAATTTATAAAAATTTGGCGTTATGGAACCAACTCCATCAGGTATGTAATTTCATTTTTATGTGTTTCAAAACATTACATTTAAATGCGACCAAATAAATAATAAACAAAATTGGTAATCCAAGAAATACACTTTTTTAAATAATTTAGTAATTCATCGAGTCGAAAAGTAGCACATACCACTATATGCCGGGCAGATTTGGTATGGAGGTTACAGATTAACTTATTATGTTTCAAATTTTGTCTAATACAACTGCCAATAACTGCCTATTCAAAAATGGCAAAGCAAAAATAAAAAGATTGTATGAGTAAAAATAGCACTTAGCAATAATTGCTTCGGAACACCCTAAAAAATAGTAATTTAAAATGTACAGTGTGTTTCTAAAATAACATTATTAACTTCTTTAGCATATAGTACTCATAAATATAAGTCAAAAAGTTTTTAAAAACAAAGGGCCTAAAATGCAAAATTGCAAAAAATTCAATATATTTTTTTGTTTCAGGCTCTTCCTGTAAGCAAGTAGTTTATAGTAGAAAGGAGATTTATGACATGGTAAAGGATCACTTAAGAGACGGGTTAACTGATCTGCTTAATCATCTTAAGACCGCGGTGTCTGAACGAAGTGGAAAATCAATAGAAATTCGTGAAGACATGAAGGCTTCATTTTCAACATTATTTTCTAAAATAAGGCAAAAATTGCAAACTGTTAAGAGAACTGAGCAAATTTTTTTTCAAAAATACCATGATTGGCTTATTAAACCCGTTACATTTCCGATATTAGAAGTTGTAACAACTTTGGCGACATCAGTTAGAGGAAGACCAACAAAGGAATTTCTAACATCCAGCGAAAAATCCAAACGAAGAAAAACTGAAGAACTTCGTAGCTCATTTAGTCCACAAGAATTGGCATATGCAACGCAAGTAAGTCTGCGTTCTACTGGCCAACTAGATGCAAGTAAGCTTGTTAAGGAAGCCGCCCTTTGTACTCCTACTAGAGCATCAAAATATAGAAAAAGTTTTAAGGTTACAACTGAAACTCCTTTAACCAGTGAAGGAGCTCTCTCAATATTAATTGAGTGTAAGCTTTCAAAAAGCCAGTACCAGGGTATACGGTTAATAAGCTTGGAACAAAACTGCAAGCTCTATCCTTCTTATAAGAAAGTATTGGAAGCGAAAAATTTATGTTATCCTCCTCGGAGTTCCATAAAAATTACGGAAAGTAGCTCTGAAGTCGAACTACAGCAATTATTAAATCACACAGCTCAACGTATACTACAAACCCAAGAAGAAGTTATTGCCACTTTGACTGATAAAGAATTGCAAAACTTAAAATTTTTTTGCAAATGGGGATGTGATGGAAGCTCCGGTCAAAGTGAGTACAAACAGACATTTGAAGGAGAAAGCATTTCTGATGCCAGCAAATTTTTTACATCGGTCGTTCCTTTGCAGTTATTTTACACAGATATTAAACTTGGTAAAGATATAATTATTTGGAAGAATCCTAGAACGTCATCTCCACGATTTTGTAGACCACTTCGAATGCAATTTCTTCAAGAAACGACTGAATTGACGAAATCTGAAGTAAGGCATGTTGAAAACCAGATAAATACACTTTTGCCTTTTGAAAGAACCTTTAGAGAAAAAAGTGTTAAAATAACGTATATTATGAATCTAAGAATGATCGATGGGAAAGTATGCAGTGCCATCACTGGAACAAAGTCATCGCAGCGTTGTTATTTATGTGGAGCAACTAGTAAAGATTTTAATGACATAAGTAAAATTTTAAAGAAGCCTGTTTTGGAAGAAAATCTTAAATTTGGACTATCCACTCTACATGCATGGATCAGATTCTTTGAGTGTGTCTTGCATTTATCTTACAAATTGGTTATTAAAAAATGGCAAGCACGAAGTGCTGAAGAAAAAAAAGCAGTTGATAATAGAAAAAAAGAGGTCCAACGTGAATTTCGGTTGCATTTGGGGTTAATAGTGGACAAGCCAAAGCCTGGTTTTGGAAGTTCCAATGACGGCAATACTGCTCGACGCTTTTTTGAAAATTCTGAAATTTCCGCAAACATAACTGGCATTGACGAGACACTAATTAAACGTTTTCATGTGATCTTACAGGTAATATCTAGTAGTTACGATATTCATTATGACATGTTTGAAAAATTTTCTATTGAAACGGCAAAACTATTTGTTAATTTATATCCATGGTATTACATGCCCACTTCCGTTCATAAAGTGTTAATACATGGAAAACAAGTCATAGAAAATGCTTTATTACCTATTGGACAATTATCTGAGGAAGCCCAGGAGGCAAGAAACAAAGACCTAAAAACGTATCGTGCCGATTTTTCTCGAAAATTTTCAAGAGTGAAAACAATGGAAGATATTTTTAATAGACTGCTTGTATCTTCTGACCCCTATATTTCAAGCATTAGAAAGCTTCCAAAGAAAAAATTAAAACAATTTTCCCCAGAAGCATTAGAAATGCTTATAGCCAGCGGTTCTCAAGATCAATTAAGACTTGACGGAGATGTAGATAGTGACTCTGAAATTGAAACCGAGTTAACTGTTAGTAGTGATTCAGAATGATTATTGTGTGCAATTAATTTTTTATGATATAGTATTTTTTTATGTTCCTTATATTAATAATTATTATAATATATTATCACTAGTTTTACCCAAATTAGTTTTCTTTAATAATCCACTAATTTAGTTAATTTTACAGGTCAGTTAAAAATAAAAAAATTTAAAAGGTCAAATATTTATTTTTAATTCGGCCATATTGTAGCCCGACACCTTGTTAACGACATTTTATGGTCATATTCGTAATTATACACCTTAAAAACCCCTATATATGTGTTTTAGTACAAATCCAGCAGTTGTGGTATTTTTGGCCGAAAATTTTAATTTTGGGACCACTGTGCGGCTGGATGAATAAAATGCTCGTTTAAGGGATGTTGTAGCTCTTTATAAGATTAGATATTTATATGAAAATAATTTTACGGAATTAGAAGTGTGTCGAGATGAGTTTATAGCTTTACATGGCATCACCAGACGTAGAATTGAGTATTTACTCACATCTTTGAAAAGTACTGGCGGCATGCATCCAACCGATAAAAGAGGAAAACACTCAATAGACCATTAAAACTGTCTGATGATACTGGTAATAAAATTAAAGAGCATATATCATTTAAAGGTAGAGGCAGTCAGTTGAACATAAAAATAAATGTTTAAAAAGATGCATCCCGGCAACGAGACCTACAGAACCATTTTCATCACATATTTTAATATACCTTTTGGTTACTCAGGAACAGACACGTGTACCACATGTGACGAGTACCTAGCTAAAATGAAATGTCTGGAGCATGAAAACGAAAAACTAGATCAAACAAAGAAGGAAGACATAACAGCTAAAATAAAACAGCTGACCACATCACATGACCTGCATTTATGTAAAGCAAAATCATTTTATTCAATTAAAAAGCAATCAAAGCTTTCAAGTCGTAAATCAAACGTAACAGAATCAATCTGTATAGACTTCGGTAAACATTTTCCTATCCCCAAAATTACTACTAATAATGTATACTACAAGAGACAGTTGTCCAATTATTTGTTCAACGTTCACGTTCTCTCTGACTCAAGAAGTGTCTTTTATGTATACCAAGAAACCATCGCCAAAAAAGGTAGTGATTCCTGCGGTGGACAAAACAAGAATTACACCTTTTTCCGCTACTTGTATTATCTTGTTCACCAACAAAAAAGGTTTGATTGTGTGCGAGTTACTTTCCCTATTAAAGGCCATTCTTATATGGAAAATGATAAGAATATGGGAATCATAGCCAGAGTTGAAACTGTGAAGGAATTATGTGACCTCGTCCAATGTTCCAGAAAAAACCTTCGACCTTTGTAGTGGAACATATTTCAGAAGACAATCAACACATTTTTAAAAAGTGGACCGAACACTTGAACAAATTCAGCCAATAAGGCAATTAGAAGTTTCAAAAGAATACCCTAGGTTAATCAAGTATAGAGACACATACAATGGGACATGGTTCTTTGCAGTTGTGATGGATAGAAAACCTATCGTTCTCAACAAATTTGGAAAGAAACAGCCAATTTCTTCTTCCAGAAATATCTTACGCAGGTAAACCTATACTTATTATACTGTTAGTTTGACTATTAAATTTTTCTTATTCGCTCCAGGTCCAATTCCAATTTCGGCGGAAAAATTTGCCAAGTTGCAGAGTTTGAAAAAGTTTCGTGGAAAAGAAGCTCGAGATTATTTTTCCTCACTGGTGCATAATTGACTGGAAATATGAAGGACTTCTTTCGTAGAAAGAAACTTTCAAGTTAAACAAAAAAAATGTTAATTTTCTTACACTAATCGAACTATTAATTTTTCATTTGAATTTAGTTAAGGTTCAGGTTCACTATATTAGTCATGTACTTCAAGCTATTTGTTGATTGAAATAAACATACTTCAAAACAACATTTTTCTTTAATTTCAGGGGGAAAACGACCAATTATCTATAAATTGTTGATTTTTCTATGAAAAAGTTTTTTAAATGCTTTTAATTTATGACCCAAAGATCCCAGATAGTTAGGAAACATATTGGTAAAAAAAAATTTTTGTGAATGCAAATACTTTAGATTTTGTAGCGTTTTGAAATTTAAAATTGATTTATTTCGAAATTATTAAATTTGACTTAGCCCGTTTTTCCCCTGTACCCTTCAGTTGGAATCTGAGGACTAATTTTCAAAAACTAAGGGTACTTTCGGTTCTCTTAAGATTTCATGCGAAATGTCATACGTGAACGTGGAAACAAAATGTTGTTAGCCAGTGACTATTTATCTTGGTTTATTTCGAAATAATTAAAATTCTTAGGAGAATTTGACCTCGTGATAAGCCGAGAAGGAACAACAAACTCTTTCAGTAGGTAAGATGTTTGAAAATACGAATTAATGAGAATACATGCTGCGGTGGACCAATTGGTAAAGGCGTAGAGGCCTAAACTCGGGGCCGGAGCACCATTTTTCTTCTTAACTATTTCAATTTTTGTTTATTTGTTTTCACTTTTCCGTTGGCGTAATTCATTACTTAATTTCGTAGGGGAAATTAAGGTTTGATTTTCATATTTCCAAATATTTTGAAAATATTCTAGTTGTTCTTTAGTTTGTTTTCACTCCTTGGGGAACTGGAATTCATTCCTGAACTTACTTTATTTTAAGAAATTAATCGAGAGTATTTAAAGTCTAAGTGCTTTCAGCCTATTAGGCCATCATCAGAGACCTACAAAAGCGAGAAAAAACGGAGCTGTAACAATATAATCAACTCGTAATATTACTAAACATTGAATGAAAAACCTTGAACACTTACTCGTCAAAAACTGTAGAAGTAGCATGAAAATTTAACTAAATTAAAAAGGACAGCAGTAAACCGGTCCCTGGTCTCCACCATAGCTTGAAACTTGAATAATAGAAAATAAAAGAACCACTCCTAAAATGTGGTTAAATTTGAAGAAATTACGTGGGGGTTCATCCCAACAAGTAAAACTGTACAATCCCAACCATTCAAAGGCAGAGAAACTGCTGTTCTTCAATATGAAGACAGCTAGATTTTTCAAGTTGCTACCGTGAGGCGGAGGCAAGTTGGGGCACAAAAAATCGTAGTAAGTACACGAAATTTTGGAGAACGTGACCATTTTGACAGTTGCCAAAAAAGAACTGAGTGACAATTGACATTTGACAATGAAGTTGTCAAGAAAATTGCCAACTTGAAAAATTGAAATGAACAAGTTATGGTGGGACTTTAAAATTTTAAACAACAAAACATTACAATGATTAAATAGAATTATAAAATAAACAGTGAATGAAGGTAAAAAATATATTTTTTATATAAAAATTATTAAAATTAAAGGTGCCAGACTGAAAACAACAAAATTGAGCATGCCGACCCCAGCGAAACCGAAGTCGCAGGCAGATCAACTTTTCCAGCTTAAAGAGGAGAAAAAACCGTCCTGACCACGAAATCAGCAATCACCGGAAAAGACAAGATTAACACCGCTGTAAGAAGATTCATGGCGAAGCTGGCTAGGTAACTTCAGACCAACCGTTGCCAATACTCTTAAAGAGAGGAGGTACTTTGCTATTGAGATGGATTTGAGTGTTAACACATGTGACATTAGTTTTATTAAACTCTCTGTGTATCTCAAGGTCTTCGAGCAGATTTAATTTAAAGTTGCAATTAAAAATATTATGAAGAACAGTGACATTCTCAGAAGGAGTGAAATTGTGATTATTGAATTTAATATGATGTCCAAAAGTAGATTTATCTGGATATCTGATGTGTTTACCAGCTCATATGTTGTCTTCTCTCAGTTTTTCCTATATAAGATGTATTGCAATCATTACAGCTTAATCTATAAATACCACTTTTGTGTAGCAACTCGATGTCATCCTTAGTATGTGATTAGTTGGCTTTTAATCGAATTAACATTTTTAAAGGAAATTTTAATATTGTTGCAATCCTTAAAAACTGCAGCGACATCATTGGAAATTTTCCCGAGATAAGGTAGTGAAAAGTATTTAAAATTTGCAGGAGAATCGTTAGTAGGATTAAAAGCAAGTTGGGACCTTTTCTTTAGTTTGACCTTGTTAATAACCACGTTAATAATAGAAGGATTGTAGTTGTTATTAAAGGATAATTGTTTTAAAACGTTGATTTCTTTATTAAAATTATGATTAGATAAAGGTATATTGAGGAGACGGTGAACATAACCGTATATGGCTGATAACTTGTGTTGATAAGAGTGATTAGAGTGAAAATTAATTAAATTATCAGTTTGAGTAGGTTTCCCGTAGATATCAAATTCAAGTTTATTATCCCGACGACTAATAGAAAGGTCTAGGAAATTAAGTGATTTATTGACTTCAAGCTCAACTGTAAATTTGATTTTAGGATGGATATTGTTGATGAAAATTAAGAAGTCATCAATCTCAGTGAAATTGCAATTCATAATAGCAAAAATGTCATCAACGTATCTGTATCAGTGTAAAATTCGATTGTTAGGGGAATCATTCAAAATTTTATTGGTTTCTAAGTGATCTAGAAATAAGTCTCCTAACAAAGGACTTAGAGGATTACCCATTGCTAGGCCATTGGGTTGTCTGTAGAAATTTTTATTAAAAATAAAGAAATCTTGATCAAGACAGATTTTGAGTAAATCCAAGATAATATTGATAGAATGAAGGTTGAAGTTATTTTTAGTAAGAAGGTCCTTGATAATAGGAAAGGTTTCCTCTCTTGGAACATCAGTGAATAAATTGCTAACATCAAAAGAAACTAACTTAGCTTCAGAACTTAAATTTATGTTTTTAATTTTGTTAACTAGATCAATTGAATTTAAAACAGTATATTTGGGTTTATAATTAAGAGAAGAGTTAAGGAAGTTATTGAAAAATTTTGCAATCCGCATCAATAGACAGTTCTTCAATATCTTTTTTGTGAATCTTAGGTTTAACTGCAAATTTTAAACCTAAGGAGAGAAACTCAATTTCATTATGATTAAAAATTATGTTAACTCTGTCATGAAAATTAAAGGAGGAGAATGTATGTTGAAAGTTAGAAGGTTGATTGTATTTTTTATGTATTAAGTTAAGTTTGAGCTTTAGTCTATTGAATTTAATGTGTTTAAAAAAACCGACATCATCATGAATGTCGTTAAGATTAGCAACAGTTGATAAGGAGTTACCTGAGCCAGTTGATCGTATAGAATTTTGAGATCAATGTTAATAGCGTTGATTTTAGAGTAATGTTTACAAATTTCAGAGTGAATGATCTTCTTTTCAATGTTGTAGGAGAGCTTCTTAGAAACGTTCTTGGGTAGTTTTGCTTTAGCAAATGAAGGAGAGACTCGTTGCTTTTGACCAAATATCTAGATGAATATTTGATCTTTTCACCGCTAATCTTCTATAAGTAGGCACCAATCTATCCATATCGATAAATTCTTGAAGAGGTTGAGTGGTCTGTACACACTGGGTAATAAGAAATGAATCGAGAGTATTTAAAGTGTATAAATTGAGTTTTATTAATAAAACTCTGTAAAAATTAGTCTAAGCGCTTTCAGCATATTAGGCCATCAAGTAGGATTACTTTATTTTTATTACAATTAGTTTAATTTAGCAGAACTGCACTATGCAGTCATAATCCTCTTCATGCAGGGTTTTTAAATGGCAGAGTTTTTAGTAATCTAGATTGTATTTGAACGGGAAATATCCACTGAAGATATTTTTTCTCTGACGCGTGGCGTATAACGTTTTAAAAGATAATATCTTGTTGGAGCAATAATATTTCTGAATTCTTCTACCTGATCTATTTATTATATTTGGGAAATAAGTAAAGTTTACCAAAGATTTCAGATTCTATACTTTGTATAGTTGGTTTCACATATAACAAAACAAAGTAACTGTATTGTATTGATTTTTAAAACCTTGCCAAACAAGAGGATTCCTTAAAACTAAGGACATTTTATAACAAAACATTTATAAAGAGTGATCCACAAAAAATGTTTCTAAACTAGGCCATGACCGACAAAGACAGAGGTACGAGTCATGCCCGTGATGAGTACGAACGTTTCTGAATCAAATACAAACTGACATTAAAAAAAAGAATTTTTACGCTCCGACATTCGTTATTTTTACTATGATGTACTTTAGAAATATTTTTTTGTGGATCACTTCGTTAATTTAAAAAAGAATTCAAAGTAGTAGTTATTAGAATTTAAACAGTCTCCCAATATGGTTTTTGGTTTCTAATTTTGCCAACAAAATTTTAACTCATGTCTTTATAGATTGTCGTAAATAATGATTTCGCCTGGTACACTTTTTAACCTACGAGGAAAATGTTCTCAC